TCATAGGGATTTGTTCTCCGTTTTTTATGACCAACCATAATTGGAAGTTGGTGGAACGGATATAGATTCTCATCCGTTCCTTCCAATAGGAGTAGTTGGTGCCATCAAAGAGTGGTGGCCTAGAAGTTGATTGACCTTCTCCAATTCCTGCATAGAGATTTCTAGAAGAAGAACCCATGATCGCTTTACTCTCAAACGGTTAAGTTTGGACGCGAGTTAGGCTCTGATACCAATTGTTAGAATAATAGACCAACGCTAGAGGGGGGGTGAATAGCGTTTGATCAAGAAATCGCAGGAATAAAAAATGAATAAACGAGAAGTAAAGAGGCACACCGATTTTACCCTGGTTCACCACAACTTGTTGCTAATCCAGCCTCCCGAGAGACTCTCTCGAGCTACACTACTATCTCGTTAAGCTTAACGGTGCTTAACAAACCCGTACAACTTGAGAATTTGAGTCACACGAACCTCAACGAACCTTCGAAGGAAACAGCCCTTCCTTCGAACAACAAGAGAAATACCTTCTCTTGTCAAGTGTCTAAGAACACTAAAAACACTCAAGAACAATACTCTCTTTTAGAGTGGATAATGAGTAAACTAAGAACGCTCAAGAACACAACACAAGCTTCACAAAAATGGCTCTCAAAAGCTATGAATAATTGAAGAATGATTTGCAATGAAAGAGTAGGATTTGTGAAGTAATGTGATGTGTAAAATAGACCCAAACACCCCATTTTATAGTAGAAAAATAGGCTCCAACGAACCAAAGTATTTAAGGGGTGATTGGCACAATTTGTGGGATTTGATAACATTTGGATCTGCTGAAATTCACACAGACAGCGCTGTCCTAGGCCTGGACATCGCTGTTCTAAGCTTACGTTTTGAAAAATGGGAAGCAACGGTCATGCCAACAGCGATGTCTAAATTCCCTACATCGCTGTTTTGGCTGTTGACTTCCAAACAAGGAAAGTTTTAGCCTTAAATTTCTTCCAACGGTCAGGTCTCTACATCGATGTTCCATACTAGAACATCGCTGTTTAGGTCTGCCTTTGAAGATGGAAGTTTGGCCTGACAGCGCTGCTGCTGGGTCAACATCGCTGTCCAAAAACTTTTTGCCAATGCACTATATTTTTGGCTTAGGTTGGACAGCGCTGTAGGGAAGCCTATATCGCTGTTCCAGAAGTTTCTGGAATTCCAACCTTGGCTCAACAGCGATGTCTAATGTCCAACATCGTTGTTGGAAGACTTAACGCCAAACCATGTTTTTAGCTACCCAAGCCAAACAGCGCTGTTGGTTACCTCAACATCGCCGTTGGGCTGGTTTAGCCAGACCCATGGTTGGTTTAGTCACGCCGTTAGCCGATGTCAAAAACGCAAGTTATCCAAAATAAAAACCAAGTATTGAAAACATTTGTTTATTGTGTTTTGTTAAGAAATGAAGTAAAACATCTTAAAAACCACGTCATTTAGTTGAAAACCACGGCTAACCAGGTTTGCGCCGTTTCGCATGGTTTTCATTAAACGACCAAAAACGGAAGGTGGTTTTTGAAGCGTTTTTGTTGGAGAACTAGATAATTGTGCCCAGTAGTAAAAACCAGTCATAAAAAGTTGAAAACCACTTGGTTGGTTCGGACGCCAAAAACCAATGCCAAAAACCGAGAACAAACGCCGGTTTCTGAAAACCGAACGCCGGATGGCTTGGGTTTTGGTCTGGGCGAACTCCAAGTGTTTTTGGGTAGATTAAAACTTATGAAAAACATTTTTTGAGTTTGTAAAAAGAGTTTTGATGAAATGAGCCTAGAGAGCCAAGTTTTGAAAGTTTGTGCCGGTCTTGATCACATTAAGACCGACTCAATACAAATCTAATTCTTCGTTCTTAATTCCAGATTCTTGGTTCTCAAAACATCATGCCATGTTCCTTCGCCTTGGTTTTTATTCTCTTTAGCCTTGTTATGTCACGGCGGTTTGGCATTATCAAAACCTGTCATAGAAACGAACACAGTTTAGTATGACGTAGGCGTAAACTTGTGTTCCAACATAAATCTGTGTAATCCACACACATTCTCCATGTGTCACCCTTGGGAGCAAGGACAACGTTGGCTAGCCAATCCGGGTATTTGACTTCACGGACATGACCAACACTGAGGAGGTCCCTAACCTCCTTCTTGACGAAGTCTCGCCGGTCACTGGCCAGGTACCTTTTCTTCTGTCGTACCGGTTGACTTCCCTCCCTTACCGCCAGCCGGTGGCAGATGATTGAGCGGTCAATCCCGGGCATATCTGCCACGCTCCATGCAAATATGTTATATCCGGGCTTGGCCCTATCATACCCTCCCCCATGTCCCACACCCTCGCAAAAACCAAAGGACTTACGTTCAAACATTATGATCCATTTTAATGAGAATTCCAAGTCCTTCAACCCGAGAGGCCAAAATAACTTCGAACCTAAGGGTTCTGCCAACCAACTCCCAATCTGCCAAACCCCTCCCTAAACATCCAAAACTCCTTTCCATTTAATTCCTTTCAAACATAAAGTTTTCCTACACTTATTTTAGCCCATGGCCGAAAATAAGGGTGTGTAAAATAAAACCTTTTGTTTGTTGTTATTTTCCTTCTTTTAAGCCTTTTATTCAACAAATAAAACCCTCCCTCTATTCCACTCACCCCTGGCCAAAATACAATTCACAATCCCAACATAAACACCCACAAAGAGCCAAAACCCTGACCCACCACTAGCCACTCATTCCTGCCCATGTTCCCTTACAAATAACCCAAACCTATAAGTCCAAAACCACACATTATATCCCCCATCCCTGCCCCCTTTTATTAGCCAAAAACAACCCCCATTTTTACCTAAATAATAGCCACAAAAACCCAAGAAACAACCACTAGGAACCAAAACACAAACCCCCACAACCCCAGCCCCATCCCTGATTTTATTCCACTAAGGAGACATGAATGAATGGCCAATACCCCATGCCTTGGAAGAGATTGTTGCAAGGAAGCTTCCCTAAGTTTACATTCAATGTATTTTGAATAATCTCCCCCTTCCCCTGCCTATATAACTCAGGCCTTATGGCCATTGTAACAAACCTTATGAATATTAAAATCTTTTACTCTTTGAGTATTATTAAAATAGTGTGATGCTATTTTAGCCAAATTCCTAATTCTATATCTTAAGAGTGGTTATCTTAAGTGTGAGTTTTAGGTTCTAGATATTTGATTAAGTGTTTCATATCTTAATTAAATTCTAGATTCAAACCCCAAGTTAGGATAAGAGTGTGTAATATCTCTTAAACACCAACTTGGTTTATCCATCCCTGATTTTTCTTCCATTTCATATCCCTCCATTTCTCCTCTTAATCTTACTCTTTTCTTCCATTAAAATACCCAAAAGAACTCCCTCATCACCTCCATATATTTCCAAGCCATCCCCCCACAAAACACCCTTCTTCCTACATAGAAATCTGTCAAATAATCGATTATCCTTTGAGGGAATCGATTATCAGCCCTCCGTAAAAACATCTGCAGCCTTCAACAATCGACTGTCTTCCTTAGACAATCGACTATCAGTTTCCCTAGAAATTCTGCAGCCTTCAATAATCGATTGTCTCCTTCTGTTAATCGATTATCACGTCCCCCAGGATTCCTGTAGTCTCTAACAATCGATTGTCTCCTTCTGTTAGTCGACTATAAGCCTCTCCTAAAGTTTAACAACTGTTCTAGTTGCTACCAATTCCCCCGTAATCCCGCCCTCAAATTATCTAAATGATAAGACCCCGGGTTCGGGTATAACAAAATATGCCCGCGTATTCTTGGAGTACCCGTGTAATCTCTGGCTTGAGATCTTCTGGGAGGTTTGCTCCGATTCTGACCATCCTTGATGAGTCACCCGGGTGAAGTTCAATCTCCACCGTCTCGGCCTCGGGTTCAAGTTTCTCCCGGGTTTCTCCCTTGGTGATTTCATGGGAGATCACATTGACTCCCTTGGTCATTTTCTTGACCGCCCGAGCAAAGCACTCCCTGGCGTTCCTCTGGTCACCCTTCACTTCACCCACACCGTCTGGAGTGTGGAACTTCATGCACAGGTGCGGCATGGAGATCACCGCCCCGACCTTGTTGATGCCTGGCCTTCCAAGGATTACGTTGTGGACGCATTTGATATCCACAACGATGAATCACATTTTCTTCCATACGGTCTTCTCGCCCGATCCTAGTTCAACCGGTAGAACTATGGATCCCCCAGCTTCAACTGTGTCTCCCGTGAAACCTGAGAGAGGGGTTTTGAGGGGTTCAAGTTGTGTCCAACACAACCTGAGTTTCTGGAAAGTCTCCAGGTATAGGATGTTGACACTGCTGCTGGTGTCAACAAGTATCCAGGCGACATCCACCCCGTTAATGTCCATGGTGATAACCAATGGATCATTGTGATCTTCGCCGGTAGGTGGGAGATCCCGGTCTGTAAAGACGATCGGCTCCCTCCTGGTATGTTTTCGCCTGGCCGGTTTAGCACTTACTTCTCCCACGTAAATGCTGCGGACCCAGTTCTTCCGCTGCGCGGCTGAGTCTCCACCTTCAGGCCCGCTGAATTTCATTCCAATATGTTCCTTGTCAGGGGCCGGCTGCTGCTCCCTATGCCGGTTATTCCTCCGCCGGTCATTATCCCGGTCATTTCTCTGGGTTGCTGGCCTAACCCACTGGTGGCTCTTCTCCTGGGCCTTCTGCAAATAATCCTTGCCAAGCTCTCCGCTTTCTATCATTTGCCGGATGACTCCCTTAACACTTTTGCATTTGGAAGTGTTATGAGAATCTGACCTATGGTACGAACAATAGGTGCCCGACCACTGCCGTCCTGTTTGACCGGTAGTGTTTTCCGGAGGAATGACCGGTGCTTTTCTTATCTCCTGGCACTCTTCCATGTTGACCACGCGGACGACCGGGTCATAGTGGTGCTTTGGCCGGCTGGATGCCGGTGCTTCTTCCTTCTTGACTTGCACCGGCTTGGGCTTGAACCCATGCTCGGCTTCCTTCTTCGCCCGGAGTTGGGTTTCAGCCTCAGCAAACTCCCATGCAGTGTGGTAGGCCTCCTGATACGTGGCCAGGGGTTTCCGGCAGAACTCCTTGTATAGTTCCCCGGCACGTAAGCCATTCAAGAGGAGGGACAACACTGTCTTGTCGTCCATTTCCTCAACCTTGTCTACCTCCTCCTTCCACCGGGTAAGGAATTGAGTGAGGTTCTTAGATTCCCTATGCCCGGCTGTACTAAGATAGGTGAATTTCTTCCTCTTAGTACAGTTCTCCTGGAACTTGGCCTTGAACTTCGAGGCCAAGTCGCTGAACGAATCGATGCTCCCTGGGCGAAGCTTGTTGAACCATTCAGTGGCTCGATTTCGCAAGGTCTGGAAGAAAAGGAGGCACTTTTCTTCATCTGTACAACCATTCATGGTTGCACTCTTATTGAAAGAATCTAGATGGATTTCTGGATCCTCCTTCCCGGTGAACCTAGGGGCGTCGATCTTGACCTTTCGCGGGAAAGGTGTCAGATGGACCCGTGTGGTGAACAGGGACCCAGCAAGGGGTTTGTCTCGGTCGTTCTTTTCCCCCACCTTCTTTTCCAGCCTCTCCAACTTCGCCTCCATCTGTTGGACGCGGTCGTTCGGGACGGTTAACCGGTTAGCCACCGGCACCCTAGGCTGGCTTTCTGCTTCCTCTTCCTGACGAGAGGCCTTCGTCCTGGCTGGCTCCTGCCGGTTAGACCGGGAGCGTTGGGTGCGGGCAGGCTCAGCCTCCCTCACCTCGCCTAACCGGGCGAATGCGCTGACATGGGCGACACTTTGCCCCAGCCTCAGCTTGGCTGATTTTCTCTGACCTTCTTCCCTGTCCCCCAGCCTTTCGAAGGCGGAGTTTCGGGAAGTGGCTGGTCGGATGGTTTTTCCCTTCTTTTTCTTGTGGGCCCTTGGAATGTCCCACTCGTCGTCTCCGCTCTCCACTGAGACGCAGTGACCATCGGGGGTGATTTGTGGATTCGTACCTTGCTGGGGACGCGATGGCCCTGCGGCGTTAAGCGCACCAGTCAAGTTGACAGGTGCCATGGTGCTGACCAGCTGCGGCTGGAAAGGTGATGACTGCGGCACCGGCGTCTAGAACACCGTCACTGCCATCGGAGCTTGAAGGGCATCGTTCCAGCGCCTGGAAGGGCACATGAAAACATGCCAGGGAGGAAAGGCATCCCCCCATTCTGTTGGCACATGGCCATGACCTGGCCAAAGCCGTGGATGGCTTGTAGGTTGGCTGGGTCATTCATGAACTGAGTCATGCTTGGTGGGAATGTGACCCTCGGTCCAGCCGAAGGAGCTGGGATTGCGAACGGGGCGACCACGCTCGGGGTTGGGATTGAGCTCAATCCCAACGATATCGCCGGAGCAGAAATGGCTGGTAGGATAGCAGCGATGGGGATGCTGGTACCCTCGGTGGTGGCTTGCACCTGAGTGGAAGTAGTGTTGATTTGCTGACTGGAAGACATTTTGAGTGGTGTTTTTTGTGGGTAGGCTTGTGTTTAGAAGAGAAGAAACCTTAACGGTCCCACGGATGGCGCCAAAAATGATGGTGTAAATTACATGACCGGTCAAACTATACTGGACCGGGTCTAGAATAGTTGGCTTGATTTGGTAAAGTAAAGAAGGTAAAAACACACAAATTGACCGGTAAGACTTTAGGTGGAACACCTGTAGCCCAAGTTATATTATAATAGAGAATGCACGGGTGCTTTTACAAGGGAGTTTAGAGAGAATGAATTCCGATCCCCTTCTTCGAGGGTTACAAGAGGTATATATACTAAGATGGGGGGACAGGGCCATGTGCGTCCATGCGGGGGCACGTTGCTGATGTGGTGCGAGGTGACTGGTTTCGTCCTCGAGCTTCCCTGTCTCCTTGTGAGGGGAATCACTTCCCTTGTCGCGTTCTGGCTTGGAAATATTCCTTCGGCATCTCCACTGATCCCCCAGCAATGCCAACCACTACAGTCCAAGTCCTTTTGGACTCTTCCTGCCGACGCTCTCCAATCTTCAGAAACTAGACCGGGTGATTCTTGAGGGTTGGTTTGGCTAACTTCGGAGGATGAATTTAGGCGATGGAATAGTTTGACCGGTATACTCACCTGAAGTGTACCGGTCAACTTTCTGGTCAACCAGCCATCCCTTTGCTGACGGCTCATATCTTTCTCTTAAGTTTGACCTCTTTGACCGGTCAACTATCCGGTTCCATCTTTTGACCGGTCATGGGTGAAATACACCCATCAAATTCAATAAAAAAAGATGAAGAACCCCGTATAAAAAGAGGCACCTGAGAAACACTAATGATGAAGCAATCGCAGAGTAACGACGTAAATAAAAGAGAAATGTGGGAGTAATGGTGTAAATAAACAAATTTGGGAGTATTTATGTAAATCTCTAATTTCTGGGAGTGTTCTTGTGAATTTTGCCTTAGATTTTAGGGTTGGTCTTTATAGAGTACAAGCTCGGTTGTGTACATTTTTGTTTTGTCTGCAGAAATAATCAATTTGTTGTTGATGTGATTTAGCCCAATGACTATGGTGGCACGAAGAACATAAATGTGAATAAGAAATATATATAGAATGAAATACTACCTCCGTCCCATTGTCTTTGTCTAATTTTGACTTTTGGAACTGTTCATCTAAGCACTTTGACTCATCAAATTCTCTCAATGTGTAAGTCTAAAAATAATCATATGTGATCTTGTTTGATTCGTCTTAACATATAGATTATTAATATATAATTTTTATAATTTTTTAATATACAAATTACAAGATAAAATGGAATAAAGAAGTGCATTGGATGGTGTGCCAAAAGGTAAGTGGACAAAGACAGTGGGACGGAGGGAGTATAACTCTTGTATCTTTGTATTAGCTTGGTTCAGCTTGGGTTACAATGGTAGGGTCGCCTCCCATTTATACTCTAACGTTTTCGTGTACATGGTATGTAATTCGTGCACTACAATATCGGGCTAACTAGCTATCATGCATCAATTATGGACGAGGAATCATTCGTCAATCACCCACGATCAGTGGGATTGCTCTCCCCATATAGTCCAATCCAACTATGAGCACCACGCGCTTCATTCTTATTGGGTTGTTGTAAAGGAACTCTTAGGCCTTCCTCTACCCAATGACTAGTGCGATATCCATCACGAGCCCCCTAATTTCTTTAGTGACAAATCACTAAGAAACTAATGATGAGCCGCCCTTGATCCCCATGTCGAACCAGAAATGGCATCAATCCCTTCGTCTCGGGCTTTATACGCAACGTCTATAAACATAAGTCCCTCAGACCATTTCCAGTTTCTTCTCCATTGTTCCCAAATTTGACCCAATCCTCAGAGATCTTTGTTCTTGATTCGCGATTTCCTTTGAATTTCCCCAGCATGTCTTCGAAGTCCATCAACCCTAAGCAATGGCGGCCCAATTCTTCCACTATCAAAGAATTGGAGCTCACTCTCATGCTCGATCTTTTCGGTGACCCATTTAGGGACCATCATTCGGACGCCGTGGGCGTCGTGAGCCAAATCTCGAACCTCGAACCGCATTGCTTCCTTGTGATGCACTGCGATTCACTCCTAGCTGGATTTAGATAACCACTCCATCCTTCCATCCAATGGATCCACACTACCTGACACGTTCCCCCCGACAATTCACCGCAAACACCCACAAGTACTTGGCTTCATACATTCTTTGCTGCCATGGTCACCAAAGAACTCCTTCCATAGACGACGATTTCCTCATGTTGAGTATCGGAGGCCCATTTCCTTACTTCAGCATTTACCCTAAAAAACAATGGCCCATCTTCACGAACATGGAGGAGAAGATTGAGAAATGGGCCAAAAGATACTTTGTCATCAAATTCCCAGAGCATAGCCCCCTGGACCTTCCCTTTGAAGTGCTTCGCTCTAGTCTATCCCGGACTCCTTTCTCCAAATCGTCTCTTGATCAAAAGCCCTTCAACGAGATGAAGGGAGATACATCAGTGATAGATCATGAAGATGTTCACACGGCCAGCCTGTTTCGTTTGGCTAGTTTCCACTTTCCCAGGGATGACCCCGTTATACCCCATTTTAAGGGGAAGCAGATAGTCGCTGCTAGTGTGACTACAAAGGGTTCCCAAAACACCTATCCTACGGCAAAGCGGATAGAGAAAGGTCCTTCAGTTCCTAAAGCTTTGGAAACCACAATTCCTAAAACCCCTGGAATTCCTGAAGCTTTCGTAACCCCCCTAGCGGGTGAAGTCTCTTTTCAGGCTGCCACTATTAATCCTACTGGTCTGGTTCTTAAGAGACTTACTGGTACAAAAAAGCATAGCAGTTTGACCCTCTCATCTTCCTGCAACAGAAAAGGGTGATGGGATCTAGAGGCAAGTTTAGTCCGGGTTCTAAACCCATGCCAACTACCATTCCACTAGTTCTTGATCGATGAAGACCTGGGATACTGTCCCCGGGATCGCTCCCTCAAAGGAAAAGGTCAAACCACATCCCCCTAGACGATGCACAGTCCAAGAATCCGCTTGATGCCGAATTAGGTCCTTCCCCTTCAGGTGTCAAATTACCCGACTCTGACCAGGTACAAAAAGGTGTGGTGGCCACTGCAAACCCTCCTGAGCCATTCCTAGGTTTCCCGGGGCATCCTCGCCCCGCAGGGGATGTGGTCTTTGATGAGCTCCCCCTAAGCATGCGCTTCGATGCTTGGGAGAAAAGGGAGCCCTGGCATCTTCCACAATTCCATCATACCAAGGGCTTGCCTCATCTTCCCAGGTCAACCTCCATCTGGTGACAAAACACAAGTTCACGCCTTAGACCCTGGCGCAATTAAAACAGAGTTGGGGTTCTATCCATAGTGGCCTAGCCTCCATTAAGGAAGCCCATGTTGGAGCTAGGAGATTGATAGGCCTGGTCAAGGAGATGGCCTAAGGTTCTTTCCCAGAAACATCTCCCATCTTCCAGTCATGGTTCTGATCGGGACCCATAGCTTCATGGAGCACGTAAATACTCATCACTTTCTCTTAAGCCAAAGTTTTTCCCTCTAATACTCTTCTCTTGACACCTTTTTCCATCTGTATAGACCCATGCAACCGTTCTCAAGCTGGCTGAGGAGTACATGGGTACCTCTTACACAAACCCTCATGCCCTGTTCTACATAGGGGGGAAGGAAGGAAACATCCGGGTCCTGAGCGAAAAGCTCTAGGAGGCCCACACGCAGCTCAAAGTAGTTTAGGAGCGTGCCAACAGCAACTCTCTCTATGAGGAAAACGACCGTCTTCGGGAGTTAAACAAAACATTAATCTAAGACCGTAAATACAGGAAGGCCGAGAGTGAAGAGCATAGGAAGGAGATTGAAAGGCTGCATGGTTTAGAAGAGTCCTCCCGGTAACTTTTTGTTGATGCCCGGCGCATTCATGATGCAGAGCAGGCGTTAAAGGACAAATAATCCCAGGTGGAAACCCTGGAGAAGCAAATTGCTGCCCTCGACGAGGAGACAATGAACCTAGAGGTTAAGTCCCAAAAATTCAACTCCACCATCGTCAGCTTGGAATCGAAGAATGTCGCCCTCTAGAAGGCTCTAGGGGAAAAAGAAACCTATCTCCAAGTATATGCGAAGTTGGCCGGAACCAAGGCAGCAACCATTGAGGAGCAGAACATGCAAATATCCAAATTGGGGGAGGAACTACAAGAGGCCAAGTGGGACAACGCCTTAGAGACCCAAGCCAAAATTCGCCACATGGAGCACGAGTTGCTAGTTCTCGGCTGACTATCTGCGGCGAAGTCCGAGTTAGGTTAGCTCTAGGAGCGGGTGGCTGCTCTGGAAGGGGAGGTGGGCTCTGCCCTTTTACTCCAGGAAAAAGTTGACGTTCTAAAAAGGGAAGTGGCTTAAAAGCGAAGCCAGATTGGTGAACTAACTACCCGGGCTACCACCTGCTATGATGAAGGCAAGTACGACATGCAAGCATGCATCTATGGACAAATCGAGGAGAGCTAGTCCTTTATGGAGAACTTCGGGCTTCCTCCTAGAATTCCACCCTCGGTGCTAACACTAAATGATCTCCTAGAATCCCTCAATCTTTATTGCTTCTCTTTGTAACTTTGCATATTCTCCTTTACTCCGGGTTCCTTGGAGTTTTAATACTGATATGCTCCTGGATTGTTGCTTTTTTGTGAATATCCTTATGTATGTTTACTCCAGCTATTCCTGTTATTATTGTCCAACTACTTTACTTGTACTTGATTTCTTTTCTGCTTTGTCGAGTGAACTCCCCCTCCTACGCACCCCCGGGCCCAATTCGATTTTCACTTGGGCCAAATCTGCATGGGAGACTCGAGTCAACCTCGTGCATGGCACCATTTCTCGCTCCAATCGCATGCTTCGTTGCCACTTTTCCTACCACTTTTCCTACACATTTGCATTTTTAATTTCAATAGCCGTAGTTATCCCTATTGAAGAATGGTGGCTTGGTAATGCTTTGGGAGTTCATTGAATCTATGTGTCGTAAAAAGAATTGAAAAAATGAGTTTGAAAAGATTAAACTTCCTTCTTTGATACTAATTGAAAGTCGGTTACACCCTAAGAGGGGGGGTGAATTAGGGTGTTTGAAAGTTTTTGGCAAATTATAAAACTTTGGTGCAAAGTAGTAGCGGAAAGGGAGCAAGAAAAGTATGAAAGAGAAAAATACGACACAATCAATTTTATACTGGTTCGGGAACTCCCTACTCCAGTACCTTGAGGCTCCTCCCCAATGATTTAACCTCCACTAACTTGTTTGGCTTCACTAAGAAGACTCAAACGAGGTTTGGCAAACAACTCTTGCCAATAAGCAAATGAGATTTTACAACGGCTATCTCAACCGTTTACAATCGAAGATTTAGAGGCTATCTTTAACCTTACAATAAGGATTTAAAGGCTATCCATACCTTTTACAAGGCAATGAAAAATTATTGTTGCTTCTCTACCAAATAATAATCAAAATGAGTTGGGTAGAAGTAGAATGAAGTATTAAATCAAAAACAACAAAAGCCTAGAGGCAAGATATAAAATAATGAATAACATATGCCCTTGTGTGTGGAAGGGTAAGAAAAATATGAACAAAGCTTTAAGAAACACTCAAGAATAGAGAAATATGCTTTAGATATAGTTGGGAGTTATTGTATCATAAATGAGACTTAGATTAGGTTTATATAGGAGTTTGGAAGGGTAAAAATTGGGTTTTTAACGCTAATGACCGTTGGAGAATGAATTGGGGTAATTTAAATTTAAATTGAAAATCGGCTACAATGATTACAACGGATCCAGTACCCTTTACCTTAGGGGAAGTACCGTCTGGTACCTAGGTACCGTGACCATGGTACAGCGTACCGTCAGGGGTACCTGTAACCCATGAAAAACCATTGGCTCTGGCGGTACCTGGAGTAAAACATTCGCCCCTAACATTCCAGAGCCTATCAACGGTACCCTAGTACCGTGACCACGGTAGGGGGTACTGTGTACCTTCCAAGTGAAATGTACAGCGGTACGTTTACCTGGTTATCGGAAGTACCCTAGTACTGTGTACACGGTATCCAGGTACAGTAGGACCTCTGATATTGATGTACCCCTGGATAGCTCAACCAAAACCATCCTCTCCCAAATATCCAAAAAAATCTTTTATTTCTTCCCTTTTGATCAAAATAAAGCCTTCCCCATCCATTTTGATGCCTTGGCTGAAAATGAGACCAAAGAAGACAAATTAAAAACCTTTGTTTCTTGTTTATGTCTTTTTAAATACTTTTACCCATATAATGCATTTCCCTCTTTCTCTTCCAATCCTAATCCTAAAAACCCGAATAATCGATTATGCACAACTGATAATCGACTATTCTATTCCTCTAATTCCTCGTCACAAACAAGCAACCTCCAACAATCGATTATCTCCAAACTAATAATTGATTATCTGTATCCTCTGAAAATACCCAGTTTTGTGCAAGCCTTGTTAATCGATTGTTCTTAATTGTCAATCGACAATTGGGCATCTCTTAACATTCCCGGTTTGGAAACAAAATCCTGTTAATCGATTATCTAAAGGTGCTAATCGATTATTATACATCTCTGAACTTCGAAACCCAAAGTTGTTCAATTCCTGTTTGCCTTTCCTAACCTGGGGTAAAAGGCTGAAACTATTCTATGATTTTCAACAAAGAATAAAGCCTTTTCTTTCATAAAACAAAAGCATAATCACTTTTGACACAAAGGAACAAAAATCACAAACAAAGTCATTGAATGAATAGCGCTGTTTTGGCATTTTATTCACAATTGTCTAAAGCTTGATTTCCCTTTGTTTTCTTCCTTAAATGCACGAAATTTCCCCCCAAATAAACCCAAGGAAGATCAGCTCACATGGATGGACATTAATCTTTGATTTGTAGGAAAGAAGTAGGAAGTTTCCTTTGTTGTATTTTTCTTCATTTGTTGTTGTACTTCCCTTCCATTGTTGCCTATATATACACAGCCATATGGCCATTGTAAGGGAGCCGTGGATTGAATAAAAACTTCTTTATTTTACTCTTTGAGAAATTCATTAAAATAGTGTGATGCTATTTTAACCAAATTTTCTAATGAAATATCTCTAAAGTTGGCTACTTTTGAGTGTGTGTTAGGAGTCTAATTTTATACATTAGTAGTGATTATTAATGTGTTAAAGAAGATAAAAGCCCCAAGTTAAGATAAGAGTGTGTCATATTGATAAGTCCGTTTTGTACGCACTTATCTTCTCTATATTTAATGTGTTGTGGTCCAATTTTGGATTAAACAAATCAATTTCTCAATGGTTTTTAAAAGTTTTTATTTATAATTGTAAATGTGCACAAAAGTTATGTCTAGTTTTAAATAGAATAAAAGTTGGGTCAAAAGTGGTATAAAAAGTGTAAAAGATTGTGCAAATGGAATGTAACGGAGCAAGGAGACAAAAGATGGTGAAAATCCTTGAAGTGAAAAATGTGCATTCAAATGTGGGATTGCACCCCGTCAAAAGATTTGAGGTCAAACGGATTGAAAAAGCACCAAAAAGAAATTGTTTGGAAAGAACAAGATTGAATTGATTCAAAATTAATTTGTTTGACCCAAATTGGTTTGGAATTTGAAGTCGGCACAGAAGGAAAAGTTGTTCACAATAAAATTTTGAGCAAGACTGTATTTTTAGAAAATATTTTCGGACCGGGTCAAAATCCAACCAACCAGGTGCTGCCACGTGGCGCGACCTGGCTGGCCGGCAAACTGTGTAGCAGCAGCAATTATTTTCAGCCGCAGCCGTCATCACCATCTTCAATTTTTAAAAAAAAATGAAAAAATTAGATGCATGCATGGAAATTTGACGCAACAAGGAGGAAGTTGCGTGCAAATCCAAGGTAGCCGCATTCTCCACTAACTCAGGCGTGCGCCTCCACCTCAGGGGCCCACGCCTGTCAAAGGCCTGGACCGAAAATTTCTCCTATAAAAGAGGCATTCGCCCTTCATTCACAATCAAGCCTTCTTCCGGGTCTTTAAGGCCCGGAACTCCATTCTCCACTCTTTTCTCAGTTAAATTTTAATATTTTAGTTTAGTTTTGTTCCGGTTGTCCCAAAGTGGCTCCAATTCTGCTCTCTGTTGTAAGTTTAAATACTTGCAATTTTAATAAAATGTTCGTTTCTTTTATGCACTGTTGATATCTAGTATGGGTTAAGGCCCAGATTAGGGTCCTGGCTAAATTTGGGCATATATTCTGTATGTTTATTTAATAGTTGGAATAATTGTTCTAGAATTACTTTTATTGTTAAATTAATTAGTTATGTCGAGAGAAAAATTAATTAATTATTGGAAATTAGTTTTTGCCTTGTCTATGAGGATATAAAATTAATTAAGCCAAACTTTTTTAGAACACATTAATGTTGCCTTGATAGAGGATAAGTTAATGAAATATTTGTGACAGAAATATTATTATTCCAATTATTGATTAAATATGTGACAACAGTAGTTAACTCAGATGATGCCTTGACCCAAAGTCTAGTCCTATACCCGTACTATTTATTTTATTTTTCTCAAAAGCACTCATTAGTTTAGTTTACTTTTTATTAAATCAAATCGAGAAGACTTTCAGACTTGTCCAAACCTTCGTCTAGTTAGAAAAATTAGCTAATTCCCTTCGTCCACTCCTCGAGAGACACGACACTCGGAGAAAACTAACCCTTCATTGGGAAGGTTGACTTACCAAAAAACTCAATCTTCACATATCTCTTAACACCAACTTGGTTTATCCTTCCTTATTTTCTGCCCATTTCGTTCCTCTCGATTCTCTCTTCCTAAACCTCATTATTCTATCTTCATAAATCTAAATACCAAAAAGAACTCCTAGAACACCACCCACATTTTCACAATATCACTTCTCATCCATTTCCTTCCTCAAATCCGCCACAAAAATTGCCTACTCGTTAAGACCCTGGGTCTCTGGTACAACATTTGGTATCAGAGCATGTTGTTCTACATCCATAAAGGGACCCCGTTACACCCTTCCATAGTCTAAGATTAGCTTTTGGTTGTCTAAGTCGTGGAGACTACCCGGAAGACCAAGAAACGCAAACGTTGCAAGACGAGGCTTCGGAAAATTTCTTCCTGAAATTTTCAGTGTAAAGAATAGACCACGAAGAAGGTTACATGCACATCATATTTCAAAGTGAAATTTTCACGGATGAAGTTTGAAAGTGTTGGCTTCATTTGGCCGCTGGTTTTTCTCAATTCCGAGTTGTGGTTAGTGAGATGCGCCCACTCGAAGTTGAAGACGAAGTTCTGCCTGTATCCCTACTACCTTGCGAGTTTGGTCATGAAAGAGTAAGCAAAGCTCTATCAATGACTCTGTATTTTTGGTATGTGTTAACGTACTTCATTATCTAACTATGAGAATTGGAATCTTGTCATTCCAATCTTTGGTTCTTGAGATATGGACTTCCCAAAATACCTCAAAAATCTGGAGATTATCTTTGCGAATAAGGCAATCTACAAAGTCTCAATAAGGTTCCGAAGATTACACAAGAAGGTGCGAGAAGACTTCGGAAAGAAAACAAATTGGTGGTTCATTGGATTCTTCTTTTGATTCGGAAATTCTCTTATGAACTACTAATTCTCCACGGAGGTGTGAAAGTTTGAGGACAAACTTTCTTTGAAGAAGGGGAGTATGATGTACCCCGGATGGCTCAACCAAAACCACCCTCTCCCAAATATCCAAAAATCTTTTATTTCTTCCCTTTTGATCAAAATAAAGTCTTCCCCATCCATTTTGATGCCTTGGCTAAAAATGAGACCAAAGAAGACAAATTAAAAACATTTGTTTCTTGTTTTTGTCTTTTCAAATACTTTTACCCATATAATGCTTTTCCCTCTTTCTCTTCCAATCTTAATCTTAAAAACCCGAATAATCGATAATACACAACTGATAATCGACTATTCTATCCCTCTGATTCCTCGTCACAAACCAGCAACCTCCAACAATCGATTATCTCCAAACTGATAATCGATTATCTGTATCCTCTGAAAATACCCAGTTTTGTGCAAGCCTTGTTAATCAATTGTTCTTAATTGTCAATCGACTATTGGGCATCTCTGAACATTTCCAGTTTGGAAACAAAATCCTATTAATCGATTATCTAAAGGTTCTAATCGATTATTATACATCTCTGAACTTCGAAACCCAAAGTTGTTCAATTCATGTTTGCCTTTCCTAACCTGGGGTAAAAGGCTGAAACTATTATATGATTTTCAATAAAGAATAAAGCCTTTTCTTTCATAAAACAAAAGCATAATCACTTTTGACACAAAGGAACAAAAATCACAAACAAAGTCATTGAATGAATAGCGTTGTTTTGGCATTTTATTCACAATTGTCTAAAGCTTGATTTCCCTTTTTTTTCTTCCTTATATGCACGAAATGTTCCCCCAAATAAACCCAAGGAAGATCAGCCCAAAATCAGGAGAAGCATCTTGGAAAATCAGCTCACATGGATGGACATTAATCTTTGATTTGTAGGAAAGAAGTAGGAAGTTTCCTTTGTTGTATTTTTTCTTCATTTGTTGTTGTACTTCCCTTCCATTGTTGCCTATATATACAAAGCCATATGGCCATTGTAAGGGAGCCATGGATTGAATAAAAACTTCTTTATTTTACTCTTTAAGAAATTCATTAAAATAGTGTGATGCTATTTTGACCAAATTTCCTAATGAAATATCTCTAAAGTTGGCTACTTTTGAGTGTGTGTTAGGAGTCTAATTTTATACATTAGTAATGATTATTAATGTGTTAAAGAAGATAAAAGCCCCAAGTTAAGATAAGTTCGTGTCATATCTCTTAACACCAACTTAGTTTATCCTTCCTTGTTTTCTGCCCATTTCGTTCTTCTCCATTCTCTCTTCCTAAACCCCATTATTCTATCTTCATAAATCTAAATACCAAAAAGAACTCTTAGAACACCATCCACATTTTCACCATATCACTTCTCATCCATTTCCTTCCGCAAATCTGCCACAAAAATTGCCTACTCGTTAAGACCTCGGGTCTCGGGTACAACATATATTTTCCAAAACTTGATTTTTATGTTATGTTTTCAAAATAACCCCAACTAAGATTATATTTGAAAGTTTAGAAATAATATTTTGAGTGAAAAGGAATAAGTAAATCATTAAATATATCATTACCTTTACACAATTATTTCTAAACAAGGGGTACGACATTCAAGGCCAACAGAAAACACCTAGAATCATTCCATATAGACTCGCTATTTGATAACTATTGGATCAATCATATGCACTACACACACTAAGCGGAATTAAAGAACATCATTGAGTTCTTATGAAGAACAAAGCATTTTCTTTGAGATATTGTGTATCGAAGATGAGCTTAGTGTACGAGATTACACTAAAGCTAGCTTCCAAGGTGGGGTTCCACCCACCAAATGGTTGAACATGACCCACCAAACGAAAAAATCCTTTGTTGGTTATGTGATGAACTATGTGTATGAAACAATTGAACATGACCCGCTGATTATGAATCCAATGAAAGTGAAAAGAGTCCTTATACTAGTTTAGAACATAAGTACATGTTACTGTGATCCACCAACCATTAAGAATCCATAAGTTTGATGAGAATGAAAATGGGAAAGTTCCAGCTAAATTATGTGATGAACTATGTGTATGACATGTACATTGTTGTATGATATCACATGATTTTTATGAATTGTGGATTCTCTTATTTGTTTATTTTTACATTATGCATTTCTTAGTCAATGTCATTGTTAAGCGTGTAGGGTGTTTGTTTGCTACACACAGGTAACAGAACATGATGGACCTAGAGCTGATCCCAGAAGGCAATGTGGAGGAGAATGTGTGGGAACGCATAATTGATCACTTTGATTTAATATCTAGTACTATTGACTTATTACATTTTCGGGCATGAATCCTAAGTTATTTTATGGATATATTACTTCAGCTTCTACATTGTTTAGTTTTTATTCTGATGATGGATTTTTAAACAAGTTTTAACTTGAATGTTTTAAATTGTTTAAAAAATACTGTGTGTTTGGATACCAGGCCATATTAGTAGCAACCCGGTTCTTGAACTTATTAAATCGGGTTACGCAAGTTGGGGTGTTACAAGGGGAGTAGAAATCATAGCCGTCTCGGTGCTAGTGAAGTTNAATTCCCCCCCCCCCCCCCCCCTTGAGGTTCCCTAGATTCTTAGGTCTAAAGGGTCGAGGAGTTTGTGCTTCAAGGTACCAGTCGGTTTCCTAAGTACTTAACAGGTTGTGTTATAAGAGGAGTAGGAATCATTGCCGTCTGGGCACTAGTGAAGTTTCCCCCTTGAGTTTCCTTAGTTTCTTAGGTTTAGAGGGTTGAGGCGTTTGTGCTTCCAGGTACCAGTGGGTTTCCTAAGTACTAAACAGGTGTTTGTGCTTCAAGGCATTTCAGACATGTGTCCCAAGTTGTGTTATGAATATATTATTTCACCTTCTGCATTGTTTAGTTTCTACTCTGATGATGGATTTTTAAACAGGTTTTGATTGGAATGTTTTAAATTGTTTGAAAAATATTGTTTGTTTGGATGCTAGATTAGTTGCAACCTGATTCTTTAACCCATTAAATCGGGTTACGCGGGTTAAGGTTTTACAAAGGGATAAGGAATCATAGCTGTCTGAGCACCAGTGAAGTTTCTGATCCCCCCTCATAGTTCCCCAGATTCTTAGGTCTAGAGGTTTGAGGCATTTGCGCTTCAAGGTACCAATGGGTTTCCTAAGTACTAAACCCCTGCGTCTTGGCACAAAAACCTAAGGAGGGGCCATGGTTACAGTTTCAGGGGTTAGGGTTTCCTAGGAAAGGAAATTTGAGGTTTCCTCAACCTTGGAGGCGGCTTCAACGCTAGTCCTCTGGCTTTCTTCTCCATCCCTTGCTAGGGATGAATTTTCTGGGTGTCCCGTCTCTTCTTCCGACAAGATGGCCCTCTTCCCCTTGTGCCAGGCACCGTTGCGTCTTCATCAAGGTAGTAGAACCCGACGGATTTGAACAACAAAGGATTATGAAGCTCGTCGTGGTCAATGAAATGGTCGTCATTCATCTCCTTGAAGGTCGTGCCCACCAACGAGGTTTTGGAGAAAGGTGTGTGAGCCAAGCTTGACCGGAGCACTTCATGGGGAAGGTCAAGGGGGTTGTCTTCGAGAAATTCGACGACGAAGAATTTCCAAGACCGTGTTTCCATCTTGCCCTCTACGTTCTTGAAGATGGCATGAGCTTTGTTGGGGTAGACGCTGAAGCAAGGGAAGGAAAACTCCTCCAATGCAGAAAAGTCAAAAGGAAATCATTTTTTGATGGTACCCTTTTTTCTTCCTAACAGTGGAAGATGTAGGAGGCCAAGTATTTGTGAGAATTGAAGGTAAATTGCCCGGGGAAAATCTGCCACGTAGTGCAGATTTCGGGAATGAAAGGGTGCATCAGTAGTCTGAGTCTTCTATGGATTGAGTCGTAATGCATCACCACGTAACGGCCCGGCTCTGGGTTTTTGGCCAAAGTGACACCCTCTACGTCCTTGGGATGTTGAACATTGATGAAATTGCCCAGGAGAACCCTCATCAATGTGAATTTCGGAACCTTAATTTTGGTGGGATCTAGTTGCCAGTGCTTAGGGTCGATGATCGACTTGGAGGCCATTTCTTGCAAATTAAGGAGTGGATTGAAGGTTGAAGACGAGAATTATACGTTGAAAGCACGAAGTTTGGATATCGACAAAAGAAGTAGAGGGGGAAAACCGTTCTTGATGGGCGTTTATAGACGTTATGGTACAGGAATCGAGATAGTGTGTGAGTAGCGGATGTGTCGTTTCTGTCTCAGGCACGAGAATTGAGAATTTCTCATTATTAGTTTCTTAGTGACACGTGCCTAAAGAAATTAGGGGGCTTGTGAGGGATATCAAGCCTGGTGACTAAGAAGGGTTTGCCCGATGTGCTATATGAAACCCAATGTGATATCAAGCCCAACTAAATATTAAGATCCAGCACGAATACTACTCGGGTTGACTGGAGCTCGAATTATGAAATTAGGCCTTAGCCCGGATCAATAACTAAGTTGAGCGGCTAGTCCCACTGATCGTGGGTAATTGGTAACTAATTTTTCGCACACAGTTGATGCATGTCAGATCAATTATGGCGAGAAAATAAGACGCAATTACATGCCCTGTACGTAGCAGTGCGTAGCCTATAAATAGAGGGTGAAGCATCCATTGTAATCCAAACTAAATCAAGCTAATACAAGTGATATTAAAATCCTATTTAAAAGTTATTTAGTACTACATCCGTCCCGCTATATTCGTCCACTTTTGACTTTTGAAACTGTTCATCTAAGCACTTTAACTCATCAAATTCTTTCAATGTGTAAGCCTAAATCATCGAAAATGGACAAATACTCTGGAACGGAAGGAGTATTTTTATTCTCATTCTTTGTGCTTCCATAGTTGGTGAACTCAAATCATCGAAATCACTTGCAAGATTCTAGTGGGTATGCACACACTCTTCGAGTTTTCACTTGTGAGATTATGCAAACTTTGATTGTAAGGGTTATTTCACAACTTTTACAAGTTTGAAAATGTTTACTCACTTATGGAGTTATGGAAGACCTTAATGACTATTTATGTAAATAACTCTTAAAAAAGTGCCCATTGTAATTGCTGGATATCAAAATTGACAAATAAAACATTAAAACATGGAAGAAAAAGTGTGGAAAATTCATACAATTTTTTCTGAATTCTAATAATAATAATAATGATAATGATAATGATAATGATAATGATAATAATAATGATAATAATAATGATAATAATAATAATAATAATAATGTTGATGATGATAATGATAATAATAACAACAATAGGGCAAGGATCTTTTCACCTTAGAATCTCGGGTCATATTATGACCTGGGGCCCCTAGTCTACAGTGTCTCATTGGTAAAATTGATGGTTCATATCCCCTAAACCCTACCTCCGTGCCCCCTACCTGCCCAACCCACCACAGC